CGAGCATGTTTGGTGGGACGGAGATTCAAACCCACGACTCTCAGATTGCGAGTCGAGCGCCCTAACCACCTGGCCGGGCGATTTGGTTAGGAATAGCCACATAGTCAGCAAATACCGGTGACTAGTTGTCTTCCTTTGTAAATATTTCAATATCATTGATGGCTATGCCTGAATCAGATCCCTTAGCGCATGCTTTGCATAAGGTGCCACTCGGGATCTAAATGGGCCAATTACAGAATGGCCATTTTCTTATATAAAACATAATACTAAATGTCCATATTCTATTATAAATGATAAGAAATTCTTTATAACGGATACAAAATGTTGTTAAATAATCAGCTGACGATCTTCTCACAAATATCCTACAGTTATGAATGCTATTTCGAATGTTCTTCGTTTCCATCAGTTTTTTAAATTATATTTTATGTAAGATGGCAGGTGTTTAATTCAAAATATAGTAGGCTTTAAAAATTCACAGTAAACATGTCAACCTTATATATATAATAATTGGTGAATTGAGTGATAATTTGGAACAGTCATATTATACTTGAATGTATAAGATTAGACAATTTAAAACTATTCATTAGATACAAACATAATTAATTAAGTTGATTTCATGCTTACGTCAGTAGGAACTGCGATTTTGTAGTGTCTGTCAAATACTAGTGGCCCATACTTGAACAATACTTGAATTAAGTTTCGTTTTAAAGCGCTAGATAGATAAACATCTTTAAATAAGAAACACATTTTCGATAACTAATGTATATATAGATGTTATACCTATACTTACAATATCTTATAATAGTGAATGCGCATTTGAATATTGAGAGGATTGTTGTAAATAATCCTAATAAGCTTAATCCGTATCGTGAAAAGAATCCTGCAGCTTTTCTCTTGCAATATCTGCGAATTTCATTAATCAACAAAGATTACTTTTCATATCTTATTAGGAGTCACATAAAATTTTATTACATTTGGGGAGCATTATTCTTAAATTTATCTAAGAAACTTTATTTTGTAGCTATACACAAACTACAGCCGGCACCACCTTAGGACTAAGACGATTCCGAAGCGTCATGGAAGCGTTCGTTTTACAGTACGTGGAACTTTTCCCTTGTAAGTATTTGTTACTTATTGATGTTTCGTCAGATTTATTTCCTGGAAAATTATCACTACAGTATAGTTAGCAATGAAATTGTGCATATAAAAAAGATACCAGACGATTTTCATTTTTATATGTTAAATTTAGTGTTTCTGCAATTATGTGAATGTTTACTAAAAACGAACAGAATCTTAGTTCTTACCTTGTCTCTCAAATGTTTTACCAGAAATACACCAATAGACGTTATTTCCGTTGATCGTCAGTTGTTTAGTACTAGCCTATCGGTGGAATACATAAATAAATTACGGTTGTGATATTCAGTGTAATCAAAATAGTTCGTCGAATCCACTATTTTAACCGGGGTTTCGTTAACTTGCACAATCTGTGGTATTTATACTTATCGTCAAAGTTCTTGACCTTTGGTTGAGCCCAGAGTATAAGATAGTAGTTTGATCTAAACTTTAAGTAAACAAGCTATAAAAAGTTATTGAAAGTCTTGCTTCAAAATACTGCTTATCTTCTTACACAGCCATCTGTGCAATGTGTTAACACTTAAAGGTTCGAAGAAAGGTTGCAAAAAAAAATGTTGGTTTTGGTTTACATATCATATTTAGCGAGCACATTTCGAAGTATAACGGACCGAATAATCAATATCTGTTTAATAGCTGTTTAATAGGTCCTCCTTTAGCCTTAGCTGTTTAATAGGTCTTTCTTTAGCCTTAGCTGTTTAATAGGCCTTTCTCTAGCCTTAGCTGTTTAATAGGCCTTTCTCTAGCCTTAGCTATTTAATAGGCCCTCCTCTAGCCTTAGCTGTTTAGTCTGTCTCCTATAATACTAATTATATGACGATATCAATCAGTCATAGATTGCTACTAGTTCTCGAGACTATCAATTAAAATTTACTCCCATTTTGTCATACAATATCCCATAGTTTATTATGTGGCTTTACTTCATTTATTTTCAATATTTGCTACAGAGCATTTCAATCGGATTTTTAAGCTGGCAATTTAACAACCTTATATCACTGACTATTTTTTCCCACGAGAAAGATTTCTTATTCAACGCCCCCCCCCCCCCAGTGGCACAGCGGTATGTCTGCGGACTTACAACGCTAGAAACCGGGTTTCGATACCACTTTGATCATTTGAGTATTTAAATGTATTTCGAGCGTTAATATATTTCTCTGATACATAAATATATCATTTTTCTGTTAGTTGCTTGTGGTTTTGGAGTGTCTGCCTCTGACAAAAGAATTTTAAATATTTTTAGAGTTGTTTTATTATTCCAATGATTCAAATGTCAAGGTAGAGTTGCTGAATTAGTTAACAGGTTACTTTAATTTCGTAATACATTTAATACTATAAGAATGGAAATAATGATTTTATGGAGGTTTCTGTCTTATTTATCCATTTCTTTATTTTATTTTGAGAGAAAGACCTTAACCTTGAAATGATCAACTTCCTTTACACATCAATCATTACTGGTGTGGTGCACATATTGCATCATGTTGAGTGAATATATGTTTTTGTTTATTATAACACTCACTGTTAATAACTGATTGAAAATTGAATTAAAATTCTTATTTTCTTTGTAAATACATAGGCGACCCCAGCAGTAATTTGTGGGATTAACTGCAATAATATTAGTTTTTGTTAATATTTTGTTTAAAGCATAGATTATCAGAGGCTCTATAACCAATAAAGTCATGGGCCCATAAGCAGCTTAATGCATCAGCTGTTTAATAAAAAAAAAATAATGTTAAGGATAATAATTGCGTTTAAAGCTTTTCAATCTAGCAGAATATCCAGCTCGATTAAAGCTGTTTTACTTTTGACCTTAATGTTTATATAAAAAGCGTGATTTGGAAATACATATAGCTTGTATACATGACCCCCCAGTAGCACAGCGGTATGTCTGGGGACATATTTTCTAAGTAATTTCTAAGTAATCTAAGCTCAAACACTTCTATGTCCAGTTACTTTGTCATAAAATAATCGTGTTAGTATTTTCTAGCTAAACGACATCTCTAGAATTTAAATATAGCAGTCCGTAATTTTGAATTTGTGACCTGATGTAATAGTCATTAAGTAGCAACCTCTGACATAAGGGCTTTATTTGCTTTGACCTTAATAACGAGGGGTTCACTACCCACAACTGAAGGCGCATTAACTGCCAAGCTACGCCCAGCACGACCCAGTAAAATTTATGAAATGTTCTTTTTACACAGTTGACCTTGAAAAATAACCTCGCTTCACTACACATGATAACCTTATAATAGTCGTTACCCTCTTGCAGGTATGCATATGCACGCAGCTTAACAGTAAGTAAATATACACCCCCGAGAATGCATTCTTCAAGCGTGATTGTAAATGTAAAAATTGAACAATTCCAAATTAAAGGTTAAAAGAAACATTAGCCATAAAGAACTTAGCACCTGAACAAAACAAGAAATCCAGCACCGGTGAGCTGATGTTAAAAGTGTGAGAAGAGAGAAAACTTTTACTAGAATTACGATTTTTTTAAACTACTTCTAGTTACTACGACAAAGCAATGGCATCATGCACCGCACAGTAATACATAGAGTGAACTTAGGTTTAAATTGAGTCAGTGATAAAGTAGTTGTAGAGCTAATCTCGACTGAAACAAGAAAAAGAAAGATGGACAATTTAGTGGGTTGGTATCTTAGCGATGGTTTCTTTTCTTGTTTTTGGGCTTAATGGGTAGAAGAACAAATGAAAGTGAGTGGCAATCATCTTTTATAGTAAAACTCTCTGTCTTATTGTTGATTTTTCAGGATGCATATTTGTATTATGCCTATTGAGTATCTTAGTAATCCCAACATATAGAGTATACCGACTCTACGATATATATATATATATATTGCTTTTCAGATCAAAGGAATATGTTCATTTGTGTTGAAGAACAAATCTGAAAAAGAACTCATCCGATCAACTTCATCAAAACTGTGCATTACGTATGAATATTTCGAAGATGGCATGCTACAGTGATCTGGAGAATAGGCTAAAATACATGACAAAGCTAAAGTTATATTTAACATACCTAACCCAGGACCGTTATAGGAAACAAGTTTGAACCCCAGGAACAGGTACAGTCATACTTCGGCGTTATATTTTACACTATAAGAAATATTTTTCACGTGAATTTAGTATTTATTTTCGTACTGTGAAATATATCTGATTGTAGCATTTTACTTAAGGTTTGTAGATCCGAAATACCGTGCGCAGCATTCCTTTTGCGATATACGGTGATCCCGTACACAGATAGATTGCTGATGAAGTTTCCGTTGTCACTAATAAGCTAATTTCTCAAGAGTCTATTGTAAGTTTTAATCTTTTTAAATAATTAATTAATTTTAATTTCACTGTTTTTATATGGAAACATTAATATCTGATTGCATTGCTCTCAAATATTTCAGCACCTTAGCCACAAAATAGGTGAAAAGAAAATCCAGCATATGCAGACCAATACGCTGTATATTAGATATTTTCTCCAGTCATTATGATAGCCGGTTACTGAAAGATTATACAGAGAAATCACTGAATTATAATTAATACTGAAGTAACTATTAAGATTGAAATATCAAAAGTGATACTGAAAAAAGTAGTAAAATTAATCGCAAATTGTTGACAACTTAGACTGAAATTAATTAGAGATCAATTGTTTCAAATTACCTACTTTTATGTGCATTGTTTTGGTTTTGAATTTCGCGCAAAGCTACACGAGGGCTATCTGCGCTAGCCATCCCTAATTTAACAGTGTAAGACTAGAGGGAAGGCAGCTAGTCATCACCACCCACCGCCAACTCTTGGGCTACTCTTTTACCAACGAATAGTGGGATTGACCTTCACATTAAAACGCCCCCACGGCTGAAAGGGTTAGCATATTTGGTGTGACGGGGATTCGAACCCGCAACCCTCAGATTGCGAGTCGAGCGCCCTAACTAACTGGCCATGCCGGGCCCTTTTATATGCTAAAATATACTATAAAGTTATGCAGCTAATTGACAATGTTTTTGGAGTTTTATTTCGAGTCTAATGCATTCATGTAGTTTCTTATCTTAAAAAGTATTCAAAAATATTTTCCTTTCCAGTTTCTTTCTCGCAAAATAAGAGCTTAGGACCTGAATGCTTCGCATTATATTATCAAAATGGTTGTGATGACAGCGTTTTGGATACAAGTGCGGCTATTTTAGCTCTTATCAAAAGGATAATTATACGAACTCGGCTACAGAAAACGTGAACACTTTTTTGATAACATTAACCCTCAAACACAGAACTGTAATATGAAACAAACTATTTTACGAGCATTTGCGGCAAGGACACAATTCAACAAGGTGCAGGTTTTAAACTTTTAATACTTTTGTGCAAACAACAAGCCATAATTCTCAAAAATATTCCAAGAAAACGACTATTATGAAAACAGAAATGTGTTCACCTTTTTTCTGTAGTTCTTTGCTATCCATTACGACGCGAAAATCGTATGCTGAAGGAAATGAATTCTTGGTGAGAGTAATTTGAAAGTATTTGCCAAATTGTTCTTCATGACAAAAAACGGGAGGTATGATTATTAAACCAAAGCAGTATCATTGGCACTGAATTTCTTAAGTACAAAGCCAATAGAAATCTTCCCATTTACTGACAGAGACTAAGTTGCATCGTTTATTGCAAGGAATCTGCAATCACAGAGGCTTTAAACAATCTTTCATTGTTATTTAAAATTTTCCCAAAACCTAATGATAAGCCATGTCTTTTGTACGGATGAAATGTGCTTATAATCCAATTTGTCATATCATGTTGCAATATTGTATTATAGGTGTAGAATATATATAAGAAGTGGCAGTAGAAGTAACAAAATTGACACTACTGTTTTTGTTTTCATGATTCGATGCATCACATGAAATTGGAAACAGTCTCTTGGGTATTGGTTTTTCCAAAGCACATGTCAAGCCACACATCTTGATATTCTTTTGGAAAAGTATCTGGTTAAATTGAAATATGTTGGTTTAACTGTTGTGTGTATAGTTTCAGATGTATTATCTAGCCTAATAAGTTTGGTATGTTAGAAAATAGGCCTTGACTTTTTTACAATAGAAATAAATACTTTCATATTATTAATTATCCACTAAAATCTATCAGAAACAGCCTATAGAAGTATTATTTTAACTATGGGAAACTAGAAGAAATTTTGAAAGGTATAACTTTACATTGTAGACACGTAACAAGCATTTAACCTAACCTAATAGAAATTTAAATTGGTCACCCGCCAAGAAAAAGCACGATATTAATGTATGCAGCATAAGGTTTCGGAATTTCTTTTGCTGCTATAA